CGGTGCTGGGCCTCCGACCGAGCCGCGGCCGAGCGACGCCTCGGCCCGGGCGCTGGGGGACCCCGCGGCGGCGAGCAGCAGGAGGAAGCGGCGGCGGCGGGTCCCGAGCGGTGCGCGCCATGTCGGGCGGGCCCCCCAAGGCCCTGCCGTCCACGGGGCCCCACTCCCTGCGCGACATGCCGCACCCGCTGGCCGGCTCCAGCAGCGAGGAGGCCGTGGGCGGCGACAGCACGCCCAGCCCGGACCTGCTGATGGCCCGCAGCTTCGGCGACAAGGTGGGGCGCGCGGGGCAGGGGTTTGGGAGGCTTGTTTCGGTCCCGAGAGGGATGAAGGGTTTGAGCCCCGCGGGGCAGCGGGCCGCGCCCACCCTGGCGCCCCAGAACCTTGGGAGAAAGCATCTGCTCTCTGCCGGCCCCGCGGGGTCACAGCCGCAGGGGGAGCGGACAGAGGGGACGGGCTTCCCGGCTGTGACTAGTCGCGAGCGCCAGTGACAGCTGGCGGTGAGGGGTCCTGCCTGCCTGTTGGGGCCAGAGGCGTGTGTGCAGTGCTCGGCGCCTGTGTCCTCAGTTCCTCCAGATACATCCCTGAAGGCTAAGCTGCCGAGGCACTTGTAGCTCTTCTAGTTTCTTGGGACTGTAAAGAGGCAAGAGTTAATGGTTTTCCATGGTCTTACAGCCAGAGGCTTCTTAACCCCTGCGCGTCATGTGGGGAGTGATCTTTGGGTTTGCTGTGTGCCCTCAGGAGTCACCTGACTCAGACCCCAGCCGGCTGCGGGAGGAGAGTGTCCCTGTGGTTTTCTGTCTGGGGCTCCATTCACCTCTGACGTTCCCCCTCACTGTTTAGGCTTAGCAGAGACTGGTTTTGTGGTTGATGGAAAGAAAGGTCGCCCTTTGACCTTCTTTGTGTAAAAGGAGGCTCATGATTTTCTTAGAGCAGCATGATCCTCCTGCTTTGAGAGACAGCAGAGTCCAGGGAGGGGGCAAGGGGGAGCGTCTCCCTTCCTCTCCTTTGCCATTTCAGCTGTGACTGGGATTTGAGCTGTGCGGGTATCAGCGCAGCTGTTGCCACTTAAGTCACTAATTGCAGAAATTAGAATTGTTCTCAACACCTGTGATCAGGATTGTCTCCTAGTAAAATACTAAGTGAATTTCTTCTTGTCCCAATATTAAGTGGAATCAGGGGACCTAACTTTCTTTCCCTTTTACATGGGAGGGCATGGGGACAGTAGAAATGAGTGTGAGAGCACTGAGCGGTCAAAATAGCCAGGGAGTGCGGCTTGATGTACCTTCCTAAGAGGGTTTTTGAAAGCAGGGTGGGGATGGGGGTGGGGACGCATTAGGAGCAAGGAAACTTAAAAAGCTAATGAAACCAGGATTGAGCAGCTGGAGGTGTGTGGGGGTTAGGGGAGTGGCTTTTTGTATTTCTCGTTATTTTATAGATTATAAACTATGAAGGCTTATGTCACTTGGAAATACTTTGCCCATATTTGACATTGAATGAGTAATTGTTGAATGACTGAATTAATAATTTGTTGCTTTCTTATGAGCAGAGAACTTGGGTCCTATGTGCATGTAGGGTAGGAATTGAGGTTAAACCTCCAATTTCTTTCTCAGGTCTGTGTAGGATAGTGAATTAAGTATCTCTGTGTAACCAGTTACTCCAGAGTTTAGCCTCTGACAATAGTGTCTGTGGGTCAGAAATCTGGGGACAGCTTAACTGAGTGGTTCTGATTCAGGTCTTTCATAAGGTTGCATTCAAGCTTTAACTAGGGCTGCAGTCACTGAAGACTGGGTTGGGGGGGGGTGGATCAGCTTCTAAGCTCACTCACCCGCTGTTGGCAGGCCATAGTTCCTCTCCATAGGGCTGCTTGAGGTGGCAACTGGTTTCCCCCAGAGCAAGTGATCCAAAGGATGGAGCGAGCCCAAGATTCAAGCCACGGTGCTATACACTCTAATCGCAGAAATGACATACTTCTGCCATATTGTATTGGTCACACAGACCATCACTGGTGCAGTGTGGGAAGAAGGTATGAATACCAGAAGGTAGGAATCACTGGGACCATCATGGGGGCTGGCTACTACAGAGGGCTCTTTTAAATACCTGCTTAATGATCCACTCTTGAAGGACACCTGACTCAGAAGTGTGGGCATTTTACTACCAAGTACTGGGAGGACAAATGCCCTGTCTCCCAAGATCTAGTTGGTGGACAGGAAACCAGGCCTAGGTCAAATTACTGCTGGCTTCCTCTACAGAGACAATTCCATGAGAGAGGCGTTCTAGAAGGCGTTATTATTAATTACTTAATACTTAATAAGTCTCCTTAGAGCTCTGAGGAGCATCCAAATGACATCACCCCAAGGGCCTGATTTATACTAAGCCACTTTTCCTTAGAGGTTTAGAGAGCAATATAAATTCTTTCTCTGACTGGGAGTGACATTTTCCTTGAATCTTGGCATACACATGTGTCCTCATAACTCTGGAGAAATTTCTGCAGAGAAGCTAGCAAGCAACAGAGGTGAGTCAGGACCAGTGGGAGGAAGCCTCCCCTTTGCCCTGCTTTCTCTTGCCCAGGAGGTAGGGGGTCATTGGAGGGCATGTAGGAGCATTGAGTGCTATGGTGTGTCTTTGAAAAGGGGCCTGTGTTTTCTTGCCTTTTTGGACATGAAGGTTGTGATTCTGGATACCTGGTTCAAAGTCAGTTCTGGGCCTGGAGAATGAGGTCTGACAGGCTGCTCATAGTGCAGGGCTATTATATTATGCAGAGGGGAATTGCTTTCGGTGGGCCCAGGATGGTGCTGTGAACAGGGAAGCCTTGGATCTCAGTCCACCAGACACTTCTGAGTGGCCTCTGGAGTGCTGGGAGCGAGGGAAAGACCAAATGCGATGGCCTCTCCATCCGCAAAATCTAAAACCGTTCAAACCATTTTCTATCTACCAACAGTTGCTAGGAATTCTTTTGATGCTAGAGGAACTCACCAGGTCCAGTATCGCTGTATCCTTCCTCTACACCTAAAATGTAAATAAACCACTTGGCCCATATCTCTTTTTTACTTTCATCTGCAAACCGCTCTGGGCTTGCTTCTTCCCTGACTCAGCCTCCAATTCCTGTGTGCCTCACCAAACGTAACACCAAGCCCTCTCAAGCCCCAGCTGTGGTTAACACTCCTCCCCACATCCTCAACCTCTTCACTGAACTCTGCCACCTACTTCCTGCCCCCTTAGGTCGCTACTTCCCTTGAAGTCTTCAAAATGGAGGTGTCTTTTCCTCCTATAACCCACTTATATCAAGATCAGGAGATGGGGGGTCGTGTCTTTACTCTGCACTGCCTTTTACAGACCAGGCTCTGCCCTCTGAAGCTCATGTCATTTTAGTGACTCATTCAGCAAATATTTGAAGGCCTCCTATGAGCCACGCACTGTTCTAGGGACTTGGAATAAATCAACCAGTTGAAGACCCCTGCCCTCATTCGGTGCATTGAATAAGTACATACTATGTTACTTAATAAATGCTGTGAAAGGGAGAAAAAGTAGGGTGGGGGCGGGGGTTGCTCAGGGTCACTGGCTGTAGGGAAGGGGATTCTTATTAAGAACTTGAGATCTGAGCAGAGACTTGAAGGAGGTGAGGGAGTTAGTGAGTGGGTGTCTGGGTGGCAGGAACAGCCGAAGCAGGGGCCTGAAGGCACCTGCCTGGTATGTCAGGGGCCACCCCAGAGGCCAGTGTGGCTGGAGCAGAGTGGGCAATGGCGCGTCCTTGGCCAAGGACAGAGAGGGGAGTGGGCCCGATGGTACAGGGCCTGATAGGCCACCCTGAGAGCTTTGCCCTTTACTCTGAGTGCCGTTGCAGGGGCTGGAGCAGAAGGAGGGCATGATCTGACTTATGTGTTGAAAAGATCACACAGCCTGTTGAATTGAGAATCCTTTATTTGACTACTCCACTGAATTAGGTTTCCTTTTAGTTAAAAGTATGTAAACTGAGCGCAAACTGGCTGAAGGAAAAAAAAATCTACTGGCTCCTGTTGAAAAGGCCCAGGTATTTTGGTTTCTGGAATGGCTGAAACTAGGTATTCCAATGATGTTGGGAGTCTGTCACTTTCAGTCTCATGGCTCTGCTTTCTTCTGTATTAACTTTATTCTCAAGCTGGTGAAGGGATATATTCTGCAAACAAGCTTTGCACTCCAGCAGAAAGAGAGCACATCTTTCCTGGTAATTCCAGCAAAAGCTCTGGGCTAGTGTCTCCTGGGCCTAAATTGGGTCAGGTGCTGAAGCCAATCTTTGTAACTCCGCCCAAGACGCAGACTAGGTCCTTACCTTTGGAAGGTGGAGAAGGGGAGTTTTTGTCTGTATGTTTCAACTCTGAAATATATATGAAGCACATAAATGTATCTGTATTAATAAGATGTACCTATACAGTTTAAAGAATAAAAAATGAACACCTGTGTTACTACCCACTAGAAGTAGAATTAAGACATAGACTATTACTAGTATTTTGGAATCCCTCTCTGTGCCTGGGGAGGAAGGAGGTGGTTTCCAAGGCAGAATCAGGATGCAGCTCCTAGAAGGGGGAGGAACGATGAACGCTGGCCAGGCAGAAGCAGCGAATGTCCATTACACACCTTCCACTACCTTTTTCTTCCCTGTCATTTCATACTTCCTTGCTTCTCTCTCTCATTCATTAAAATCTTTAAACCCCAACTTACTGTCTTCTGAAATCTTGCCTTCACTTCAGGGGACTCTGCCCAAATCTCCTAAATTTAGTTTCTTGACCTTGTATCTGGTCACCTTCACCTTTTTTTTCCGGTTCAGCTGCCCTCTCCCCTGGCCACACCCCCGCTTTATAATGCCTAGACTGTTCCTGCTCTGAAGTAATGCCCTCAGATAGCATCTTATCTTGCCTTTTCCTCCTCCCAGTCAGTAAGGACTGCCTACACCTGTTCTCTGAGCCCATGTGTTCACCTGACTCATTTAGATTCATTCCACGGCTCACTGGGGAGGGGATAGCTCATGTGGGAGGTCCTGGGTTCAATCCTTAGCACCTCCATTAAAAAAACAAAACAAAAACCAATAAACCTAATTACAATTACCTCCCCACTAAAAGAAGTAGATTCCACAGCTCACCTAGCCCATTGCTCCTACCACCAGTCTTTACTCCCTTCCCTTGCTCTCCTTTAACATCTAGCCTGGATCATTCCATGTTCTCGTGTCCTTTCCTATACCTCGATGCAGAGGTACCTTGAGAATTGCTGTCAGTGTAAACTCACAGCTTCCAAGCACAGG